TTTTCTGCAGTCAACCATCTGAATGCAGGTGCAATAGTACCCAGAATCACTCCAGCAGATTGAGCAAGTACTATCGCCCAAGCATAGTTAGAAGCTATTTCGCTGAATGTTCTACCTTTTATGGCCATTCGAGCCTAAGCTTCTGCCAATATGAAAGCAATCAACAGACAAATTACACCCGAAGTCTAACAAGTCACAGGATGTGCAATCACGAAATGAGGGCTACTATTTTCTCCATCACCCAATATTTGCTGATCATTGCTCTGAGTTTATCGATTGTGAACTTCTGAGAGTAACCTGGAAGATTTATTAAGGTCAAATACAAATTCACATACCTCTTAAATGGACATCAAATTCTAATTCCGGGGAAATGGTGAAATGGCCTCAGCTTACAACATGACTAAGAGTATCCGCAAGACAAAAGCGATGGAAATAACAGTGCCTACAAGCAGGCAACATTGAAGAATAGGACCCTTCTTCCTTTGGCTCAAAAAATTCAAGTGGTGTAGGGTACCCTCTAAGATGGATTCTCCATCAAGAAAAAACACCTGAGAATTTCTATATGATTAGAGAAGACTAAACAAAATATAACACCTAAATGTTTAATTTTATGACAATCTAAGCAAAAATCGAAAAAGAAAAACCTGGAACATATATCAACACATGTAACATATACATCGAGGTAAGATATCCTCACCCAGAGAAAAGGGTACCAACATCAAGAGAAAGTGGATACCAAACAGGGAATTTTCAAGGAAAACAAGCAAGCACAACCTATATCTCCCCCTTCATGATATCTGGAAAGAACTTTCTATTTTCACTTGCGAATTAATTTAATGAAGTGGACAGCAAAAAATCATTACTCCATCATACAAGCACAGCCTATATCTCCCCTTCATGATATCTGGAAAGAACTTTCTCTTTCTTTCACTTGCGAATTAATTTAATGAAGTGGACAGCAAAGAATCATTACTCCATCATAATTAATTAAGCCCCTGTTTGACAACCATTAAAAGGGAAAAACCATATTTTGAATACTGATTTTTAGGGGAATGTGTGGTTAAAAAGTAAGGAAAATTTTTTGAGTTTACGTGCAAAAATATTTTACTGTGTGAATGTGTGGTTGAAAATGAGTATGTAGAAAAAAGAGTTCAAAAATAATGGTTGTCAAACAAGGGCTAAATTGTACCGTGTTCATGCCCAGAATTAGAAGTAGAGGGAGGGAATGGAGAGAAATTGAGAGAGAATGTCAATTCATTCATTATGTAAGGTTTTTCATTACATTGCAAAAGCCCATTTATATAGGGTGTAAATTAATCTTAATTGAGGTAGGAAAATACATTAAAATGAATCCTTAATTATGAAATAAGTGGTTGAAAAGTTGTGGGTCCCATGAAATGTGTGATTAAAATTAATTGTTGACTTTGATTCGAATTTTAATTGAATTTAAATCCAAAACCAAATAGGGGTTAAATATCAAAATTGGAAACTAAATATAAAAATTGTCCTCCTAATATTATATCAGTACCTCAATTATAAGTCTTTGGCAATCTTTATATGTTTGATGTCGGAGCATTTGGAATCCTATTTTGTACCCAAGGTGATATTTTTTGTAGTAAGAGAAACAATATTCATTTCAATGGTTAAAAATAGCTGGCAGCAAGGCGGATAAGGAGATGAAAGATCCCATCTTACTGGAAAAGGAGGTTTACTTAGATTATATCCATTTGTCGAGCGCATTTAATCTATTTTAGGATTCACTTACCTTAAGTTGTTACTAAGAACCAACCATGCCAAGCATGGATTTGGAATAATTTAGAATGCCGGTCACATTTATAGTCCACTCTCTCGCACCACACCCCACGTAAATCTACACTTTAATTTGGGCTACTCTTGATAACAACCTGTCATATCATAACTAACTAAAATACTGAATTTCGTCCCCAAAGTATGATAAGAAGCACCAACCTCCGCCATCCAAAAGCAAAATCATCACATACAAATACTAATGCTACCACCAGCACCACTCTAACCATTATCTTTTGCCAACAGCCCCTCACACATACCATATGATCCACCTGTCGGCACCAGATTCCAATCTTTGCCACCATCAACTAGTCAGTTCTTTATGCTCATGTATCTCGGACACAGTAATAGTTATATTGGTTTTATGAATCTCATAGGGTTCTGAAACTTAATATTCTTTATGGTTTCCTAGTAAGCCACCGAGCTTACTAAATGATTCATAAATTAGACTTTTGGATCAGGGACATTGAACCACCAGCCTATGTTAAATTAAAGCTACAAAAGGTTAATGGGAGATGCCTCATTTTTTATATTACTGTGGCTGTGATGGCCTACTTGTAACGACCCGGGTCCCACTTAACAGGCTATCTCGGCCGTTAGATCGACGACGTACTGTCCCCACTGTACCAACATGGGTCTTTTCAGCATGTTTTATCCTCACTCGCACGCTCCCCAAGAAAACTTCCTAGGGGGTCACCCATCACAGAATTGTTCCAAGTCAAACACGCTTAACTGTGGAGTTTCTAACGATGGACTTCCGGAAAAGAAGGTGCACCTTGTGGTATGAGTAGTACCTATCAAATCTTTTAAACTTTCCTAGTCTGGGTATTACAATTGCACCTTATTGGTATAAGTAGTACTTATCAAATCTTTTAAGTTTTCCGGTCTGGGTATTACAATCACCCCCCATTAGACTCGCGGCGTCCTACGTCGCCCTTGATCCATCTGAGGATCCGTTGTCAGGCATTGGGATTCTAGAGGTGGTTCCTACGGGTTCAAGAGGTGGCTCCCGCCCTATGGCGTAGCACTTTGTCCCTCATAGCACTTAGTTCCCAATTTCCGGTTGGCAACCGGGCTCTGATACCATTTGTAACGACTAGGATCCTACTTAGCGCGCTGTCCGGCCATTAGATCGACGACGTACTGTCCACACTGTACCAACATGGGTCTTTTCAGCATGATTTGTCCTCACTCGCACGCTCCTCAAAAATACTTCTTAGGGGGTCACCCATCATAGAATTGCTCCAAGTCAAGCACGCTTAACTGTGGAGTTTCTATCGATGGACTTCCGGAAAAGAAGATGCACCTTATTGATATGAGTAGTACCTATCAAATCTTTTTAAACTTTTCCCAGGAGGTCACCCATCATAGAATTTTTCCAAGCCAAGCACGCTTAATCGTGGAGTTTCTAACGATGGACTTTCGGAAAAGAAGGTGCACCTTGTTGGTATGAGTAGTACCTATCAAATTTTTTAAACTTTCCTAGTCCGGGTATTACACTACTGGCAGCAACTTTGCGCTGATATTTTATCAGTTGCTAAGCGAAGGTGGTGGGATCTTCATCTCAACTCTTTCTTTATCTACATTTCTTCTTTTTCTATATTCCCCATTCCATTATAGAATTTTGGCTGATGTCAACATCCACTTTTGCCCCTGTTTGAGCCCCATTCTCTAAAAAATTCATTTCCCTCAAACTCATTATCAACTACACATTTTTCCATAAAATAATTTTACACGCAACTCTAAGCTTTTCCCTACTTTTAAACCACAATCTGCAAAAAAATCAATATCACAAAATCTATTTCCCAAAAAATGGGGCTCAAACAGAGCCTTAGTAAGCCACTCCTCAATATCATTTCCAGCACATGACAAAAAAACAGAAAGTAACAGGCAGGGTTTCAAAAATATTCACTTCTTCATTTCTCAAATTATTCATTAGTCTTTTACTCAAATATTCCAATTTGTTAGCTTAGTAATCTGCCATTCCCAGTAAAATTTTTACATAATAATAGGACCGCTATTGTTGAATAATTTAGACAGGTGATGCATGTATGCCAAGGATAATGAGAAAAAGTAAGATCTTATTCTCTCCAAGGTTTATAACACGAGAGGCCAACCATCTCTTCCAGCACTTAGCTGAAATTATTGTCAATCGATTGGCACAAGCAAAGACCATATATAGAGTGGCAGATGTGCACAATACAGTAATTTATTATCAAAATAAATAAATAAATAAAGTAAAAAATGCAATGGTGGACAACATACCGGCAGACTGTTTAGAAGAGCTAGTATCATAGACACATGGAAAGCACATGTCAAAAGTTTTTCTATTAGATTTGGAAGATCTGCTGCAAAATCAATTGACCAGCGAGGTTGATATGAAGTCAAATGGACTGAACGTGCCATGGAGATCACATCACCAATAAAAACAAGAGACCGAAGGCATCTTCTTTCTCTAATATTAGGATTCTTATTGTCTGGTAATATACTTCTTTGATGATTCTGGCATTCTGGAGAAGAAGGCCTTGAATAAGTAATCTCAACCCATGCCAGACCTGGAGGCTCCACTGGAGAGAAGCAAGATTCAGCCTGTGTCCACAAGTGTCATAGGTTACATTATAGACCATATAGGGTGCAAGGATTCATTTGTAGACAATTGTGTTTCAATGTGCCAAGTAAATATTCTACCTCTGAACACAGGCAGCGATTACTACGTCTTGTAGCCTTTTCCGAACCATAACCACATCTCTTAAGCTTAACAATATCCTTAGCATTAAAACATTGAACAGTTTCTCTTATATTTTGGTAATTATTTCCAGAGCTCACATCCACAGACTTACTTGGATCCAAACAGGACATAGATGCAAATGCAATAAGTTCCTTTGGACAATTTGTTTGATTCCCATTCAACTGAATGTTAGTGCTCTCTTCAATTAAAGAATGAGGAACACAATACCCTATTCTGCTTTTTCCTCTAAATTCACCAGAACTGTCCAAGTCTTTGATGTTCTGCTTACTCAGCAAAGTAATCATTTCCATCCACTCTTGAGCAGTATGCATGCGGACGCCATCCAGTGAATAAATTATATCACGAGGAGACAAATAACTAGATAATGGTGACATGGGAGGCACATCCAAAACCTATTGCAATTTGATAAGTAAAGACTATTCAATTTAGCTGCTTAGCAAATGCATTAATTTAGGAGCATGGACACCTAATTTAACCTCCCAGTACAAGGAAATATTAAAGCTCAAATACCATGGGACTTTCACCATGTATGTAGAATGGACTGAAGATGAAGGGAAGAAGGAACAAAGCCAAGGTGCAAACTGCACAGAACTGCAAGTGACATTCAAGCAATTCGGATTATAACATGCAGCAGCACATAATGTGACGAAATTAAATGTCACTGCATTAAAGAATACAAATAAAAATAATTGATACGGGCACACACTACTGCATTATGCCAAATTCCAGCACAGTATATACGAAGGGTAGCCACCCCAGGTAATGCTTCCAAAGAAGCATGATTGAAAGCCACCAGAGCTCCTGGGAAAGAAACAGCCAAAAAGACAGCAACATACTCCATATGTACGCCCTCACTGCTTCCCGCAAAAGGCCCTACAATAATCATTGTGAGAACCATCCTCCAAACAAACCACTTGTGCACACGGTGCTCACCACAAAGTAATATGATATTTAAATGCCTAGTAAACCACTAGTGAAAATTGTACGTCAGCAAAAAGGAATGCATGAACATTGCAAAACAAATACCTTCGCATCAGAAAAAATAAATGCATGAACATTGTAAAACATATACTTCACATCAATTTAATTTGTCAAACATACTTTGTTGTTCAATTATGCATCTAGCTGCTATTGTTCCCAAGAAATTATCATATTTTCGAATTATGAGTCAGAATAGAAACATGCATGTAATTTTTATAAAACTGAATAGTTTAAATTTTGAATATTTAAAATACATGAAAGTTCTGGTTGTGCTACTATTTGAGCGGTTCAGTAGAAACCTGTCAACCAGTATCCATACTCTCAAACCTTCCTAATTCCTGTTCATACTGTAACCTCTACATACACAAAAGGAATCCCAAAAGAAATCTCACCATTTTTCCATGTCTAGGAACATGGCCACGTTAAAAGAAATAGAAACATCCAACACAACATTTTTAACTCGCAATTCATAGTATCATATTCACTAAGACAGTGATGGTATGTAGATATTGCTAGTTCAAGGTTCATTTTGTTCTTTCAGAACAAAAGAAAATTATATGTTGACAATAAGGTAGTGACGGCGACTGCAGTGGAAGAAGCAGAACTATTCATGAAGGAGAAGAAATAAAAGGAGAGGTTTTCTGTGCATGCAGTAGGCGAAAGAGAGAGAGTCTTAACCTTGCAGCAGAAAGAGCATGACCGAGCTCATGGATGAATACAGATATGACAGAAGATATACAGATGTATCCAATACTGGGGAGTGAAATGTTCAGTCCTGAAATCTGCACGAGCCTTATGTAAGAAAACTGGCATTAAACTGTCTAGGGACCGCGACAATAAGTGAGTGCTCGAATTACATTAGTGATTTAATTGCTAATAATCTCATAATATATTGAAGTACTCTTGAAGTTGCTCACTCAGATGAGTTACCATTTCTTGCCTCAGCTATTCAACTCCCATCATCAAACTACTAAACAATACCAGCTTAAAGATTACATAAATTCCATGTATATGGTATTGTCCATCAAGAGAAGTGTCATTCTAAGATCCTATATCAAAATAGCTCATGAACTTTCGCAATGAAGCAAGTAGCAATCTGAGCAAGGAAAACCACTATTCCCCTCCAACCAAAATTGTACATGGAAAATCAAGACATAACACTTTTAGATTACTTCTTACACAAAAGTCAAATTACTATCCCCCTCCAGTCAACTAGATATTGTCGGTCTTCTGGCTAAAAGTGTGTTGATATAGGATTGTATGCTAACCAAAGGGGAAAGGCTGAATGAAGTATTTCCAAGCTTTGCATTCCCTGTGTAAGCAAGTAGAGCTCGAGCCAATTCCCAGAGAAGAATCTGAAGAACCGCACGAAATTAGTAATGATCTAGGAAAGGAACAGACACGAAAAGAAACCCATTTTCCTTTTATTTTTTAAATGAATTTTTAGAATTGATGAAACGACTGACCGCTGTAACTCCGACAAGAACTGCCAGACTAAAACCGATTCCCATCGTGAACCAGGCTCTCAAATACCTACAAGACACGTCGTTTTTCGATTACCTTAGAATAAAGATTAAAACGTCTAATTAGGAAAAAGAAAAGAGCCCAACCTTGAGTGCCGGCGACCGAAACGAAACAGAGGTTCATTGAGGGCCAAAAATTTCAAATCGCAATACCTGTACAATTCATAAAAATAACGAAATACTGATTCTGATTAAACTAGTAAACGAAATAATTTTAACTTTTACCAGCAAGAAACGGTGTTGGAGAAGTGCGTGGGCGCGGTGGTGCGCAGCGGCAGGAATGTCTGATTGCTCCTCCCTCTTCTTCCCCGCCTCCACTCCATCAGTGAAGAATAAAGCCCTTTCCTTCTTCTTAAAGATTCTTCAAAAAAAAAAAAAAATTAATAATAAAATATTATTTTAAAAAACATTTTTTTTCCAAAAAAAAATAAAATAATAATTATGACCTGTTACGGGTTAAAGGACAGAATGGACACGTGGCGTCACATCACGACGGTGGGACCAGCTTAATTCGATCAGGTTATAATTCACTAGCTTCAGTTGTGGGTTCCGCGGCCCTTGCTACTAGTCCGAG